TGGCATCGCAGCTGCCGCTGAGAACAGCGGCAGCGGCCATAACTTTTTAAGGCGCCCCCAAAAAGAGCTGGGGGAGCCAGAAGGACCTGTTGTGCGAGAGGTGGAATTTGCCCCTACGAGTCCAAGGCCACCACCCCAGGGCTCAGGGAGGCGGGAGAACGTTTCCCCCCCCACGGGCGTCGCAGCTGCCACTGAGAACAGCAGTGGCAGCCATAACCTTTTAAGAAGCCCCTAAGGAGAGCTGGGGGAGCCAGAATGACCTCTCGCGTGTGATGTCCGAGCGGCAACGCGAGAGGTGGAATTTGCCCCTACGAGTCCAAGGCCACCACCCTGGGGCTCAGGTAGGAGGGAGAACGTTTCACCCCACTCCCGCCCCCCGCAGACGTCGCAGCTGCTGCTGAGAACAGTGGCAGCAGCCATAACTTTTTAAAGAGCCCCAAAGGAGAGCTTGGGGAGCCTGAATGACCTCTCGCGTGTGATGTCCGAGCGGCAACGCGAGAGGTGGAATTTGCCCCTACGACTCCAAGGCCACCACCCCGCGGCTCTGAGAGGCAGGAGAACATTTTGCCCCCCCGCCCCCCCTGCGGGTGTCGCAGCCGCCGCCGAGAACAGCGTCGTCGTCCATAACCTTTTAAAGAGCCCCTAAGGAGAGCTGGGGGAGCCAGAATGACCTCTTGCGTGTACACGCGAGAGGTGGAATTTGCCCCTACGAGTCCAAGGCCACCACCCCAGGGCTCAGGGAGGCAGGAGAACGTTTCTCCCCCCCCTCGTGAGCATCGCAGCTACCGCTGAGAACAGCGGCAGCGGCCATAACTTTTTAAAGCGCCCCGAAGGAGAGCTGGGGGAGCCAGAATGACGTCTGGCGCGAGATGTGGTATTTTCCCCTACGAGTCCAAGGCCACGTTTTGCCCCCCCCCCCCACGGTTGCCCAACTGATGGCTGGTGGGAGCAGGGGGCGGAGCTTATGTGCCCACCCCCTGGGCTCCTGACTGGCGAAATGGTGCTCCAGCAGGAACCGAGGCCTGCTTAGGAGAGCCTTTTGTCAGAGAGCCTTTTGTCTATCACAGTGGAAACAGCACACAGAAAGTTATCTTCCATTACCACCATGCCTTGCTTCATGTGCTGCTTAGCAATAGAGGTGAACAACACATTTCCGCCCTGCTTTATTCTTCCCCCATTCACTTAACTTAATTGGACAAATGGGCCTGTACAATATGCTAACAATTTCCTTTTATTTTCTTTTTTAGTTGTGTGAAAACTATTAATCACACCCCCTCCAAAAACATGTATTATAATTGGACAGAATATTGTGTGATTGTTGCTGAAGTGACAATCCTAGAAATATTACAGAATGGTCAAAATGCAATCAGGACACAATTTGAGTAAGTAAAGAAAAAGCAATATATAAATATATTAAAGAATGGGGCTCTTAGACTTCACTACGCAACAAATTGGGCTGGATTTAGACATGCCAAGGCATGTCAAGTTTAAGAGGCCCCTATAGCTTTAACTTTCCCAACCCCATGGTAATGTAGTAATTCTTACCTTTTGAATTTAGATGCCCTTCATAATCTGAGGCTCAGTCTAAACTAGCACTTGCTTAGCTTGTGCATAAATCCAGCTCTGGCAACAAGCAACATCTTGACACCATCTGTCATAGATGGAGCCAGAGCTTTGTGATGACACAGTCCCTGCAATTATGGGATTTGTAAAACAAAGAGAAACTTAATGCTATAGAAGAGTTATCATAAAAGGAGGAAAGGGTTATGGGATATGACTCACCCCAAACGCACTCAGGGAAGTCAGCGTAACTGAGAAATTGCCAAACTAAGGGGACGATTTTGCTCTAGTCAGAAACTACTATCTTTGGTTATCAAGCTACAAGACTGGATCCTAAAAAATAAAATAGTACATGATCCCTCCCTGCAGAATTAAGAGATGCATCAGACTAACATAAAAAACCTGTCATCAGATCTATTACAGATGAAGACACATCCAACAGACTCGTGAGGTGTTATATGAAGATGCTAGAGGAAGATCTGTATTCTCTGGAAGGGAAGGATGATGGAGCAGAGGATCATTATAGCTATACTAGAAGTGAGCAGCCCTGAAACCAAATCCCTCTCTGCCATGAACTTGACCTTGGCTCAATCACCATCTCTTAACCTGCCTCACAGGGTTGTTGTGGAGAAATGGGATAAAACAAATGAAATAAATCCAATAGATAATGAATATATGAGGGCGGAGGACTTTCTGAGGTGAAGACAGCGGAATAAGAATAAAAAAGGGTGCCAAAGGGTGAAAAAGCTGCAAGGTTTAGCTGTAAAATAAGGGATGGCATGAGGAAATATGAGTGAAGATGTAAAGCAGAAATACTGTAAGGCCTTGTTTGCTGAGGAAATGGCTATAGCAATACTGAAGAAATTGTGAGGGCCCAGTTTAGTTCAAGGAGTCATGTGGCTCAGAAAGTGCAATGGTGGAACTAAGGTGTGCAATGCCAGCCTTATCACACAGCAATTCTGCAACTGGTAGGATTGCCAACTTCAGGAGGGGAAATTCCCAGAGATCTTGGGGTGGACCAGGGGGATGCAGAATTTGGGGAGGGATCTTAATGGGGTATAATGGCCATAGAGTCCACCCTCCAAAGTAGGCATTTTCTTCCATAAATGTGATCTCTGCAGTCTGGAAATCAGCTCTCCGGGCTACTCCTGGAGGTTGGCAACCCTAGTAATTGTTGAGGGCCATCTCTAAAAAGAATGCAAAGAGGAGCGCGGGAGCCTTAAGTGTAGATGGGGGAGTTTCTTAGGTTGTTGGGTAAACAGCAAAGAAATTAAGGGGCGGTGGAGAATATACAAGCAGCAGCCAGGAAAAGAAAGCCAAGAAATTCCGGGGGAGGACATCTGTGTTCCTCTGCTGCGGCCAACACAACCCCAACTTTCGTGGCACTTGTGGGGCGAAGATTTCCCGAGCCAGGCTTCCCCTTCCCTTGGTTAGGCAGAACGCGAAAGCGGCTTCCGGTGGGGCCCGGCGAGCCGGAAAAATGTAGGGCGATGTTCGAGGCCCGGAAGGGAGCCCGAAGACGAGAGCGCGGGCTGGTAGGCTGCTCGGCGGCGAGGATGGCGGGCTGCTGCTGCTGCTCCTTTGAGGGCAAGAGGGCGCCGCGCCTGCAGGCCCGCCGAGGCTCGTGGTGGCCCCTCCGAGAGGGCGCCAGGCCGCCGGCTGCCTCTGCTGTCTGGCTTCTGCCTTGTGGTGCGCTCGAGAAGGCACCGCTCCTGCTGCGCTCCCCTGAACGGGGACTGCTGGAGAGGCGAAGCCCCCAGAAGAGGCGGTGGCCGAGCGCAGGCCGGGCGCAACGGGGCCCCGACCAGGTACCATGCGCCCGGGAAGCCTCCTGCTCCTCCTCCTCCTGGCAGGGCTGGGGTCAGAAGCCGGTGCCGCCGGCCGGGACAGGCGGTGTGCCCCCCCTCCCGCCTTGCCAGCCTACATGAGGAGCCTCTACCGGGCCGCCCTCCTTCCCCGCGCAGACGTCGTCCGGAGCCTTCGGCCGCACAGTAAGCCGGCGGGGATGGGTACCTTCAGGGGTGGGACGGGCTGCGGCAGGGGATGCTCACCTGGCCAGGTGGAGAAGGGGCGGTGAGCGTCATCCTTTGTTGGGGATGCAAGGAGTCACAGCAGCCACGTTCGCACATTACAGTGAAGGCAGGTACATCCCGCATGTGTGAGTGTACGCTATAATTTTTATGTTATATTCAACTGATGAACATGAGATTTAAATCCTACATTTATCCAGTTATTGGTTCCTGGTGTTACTTTTTTTATAGTGAACATGTGTGTTGGATCTTTCTTAATAACAGATGCATGCTCATGTCTGTGGGATGTACTCATGTTTGCTGTAAGATGTGTATGGGGGTTCTGGTGGGGTCAGGAGACTAGAGTGCTGAACTGGATGACCCTGGGCCTGTCACTCTTGGAGTAACGTACCTCACAGGGGTGTTGTGCTGATTAAATTGGGTAGAACCACCTACACTACCTTGAGCTCCTTGGGGGGGGGGGATAACGATGTGACTGATCGATTAGAGGGATGGGGTCTGACTGGGAGGTTTGAAGGAAACAAAGGAGATGAGCTCTGCAACATTTCCAAGCAAATAGCTCTCAGATGTGGACAGGTCTCTGACAACTACCTTAATCTATATGTATGCATAAGATCATGTGGATTTGTTAATTAATCTTCAGTATATTGGACACACAAAAAAGCAGATTAAAGTTTTCCCTGTTCCACTAATATGTTGAGTCAAAGTTATAGACTTAGTCAATGATTGTGAAAATGAGATCAGCAAACAGAAACTTTTCCCCAGTGAATAATAACATTCACACTTTGCAAGTGTCCGGTAAGTTCATATTGAAGGCAGGAAACACTAGTTGTTCAGTAAGGAAGATGCACAAAACTACACCCTTGGATGAAGTTTAAATTAGCGCTTATAAGGCCAAGGGAAAAAGGGAGTGTGCCCAGGTGAGGTAGTCCTTGTGGCTGGTGGGACTGTCCCACTGTGCTCAGTTGAGTTAGGGTTAAGGTTAATTCCCAAATTAAGAGTAGTTGCCTCTGCCCAAAATATCTGCAAGGGATGAGAGGCACTAGCCAAATGAGGTGGGCATTAGTGGCTTATTAAATCAGAGCAATGCCAAAAAATCACATGTACTAAACTAAACTTAAGTGTATTTTTTTCTGTGCCAATCAGATTACCTTTATTAAACACGGCATCGTATGCAGATAATTGCAGCTGTCTGTGCAAGGCTAATTAAATCCACGGTCAGGTTGTCCTTATCTTTAATAAGGGAATCATTATGGAACAGTTTCAGTACCTGCACACAGAATCAATTGCAGCTCTTTGGTAGTTCTGCCCGCTTAGGCAATCAGTGCCCAGAACTCAGGGGTGAAACAAAGTTAAATTTCTCACCTCTATTATCTCTCTTGGGGTACTCAAAGCAGAAGATGGGAGGTGCCATTTTCTTACCTGTACTCCATGCCAGCTTATACCAGCTTGCTTTCACTATGGCCAGAATTAAGAGTCAAAATGCAAACTACCTATTTTGGCTTGTACAGGTATATAGTGCTACTATAGTTCCACTGTTGTAATATTGGTTTTTCTTTTGCTCACAAGACTTGCCATAAATAGAATTTTATATCAAATAATTGCACCTGTATTTAGAAACTCTTTGTTGACACAGAACAGAAATCAGAATTTGGAACGGTCTTCAAAAGCTTGCTCAGGCACATTGGAGACCTTCCCATGCTTTCAGTCTACCTTTTGCTTGTCTTGTACTAGAAGAGATAGTACAAAATTTGAGTCCAGGGGGGCACCTTTAAAACCAACAAAGTTTTATTCAAGGTATAAGCTTTCGTGTGCATGGACACTTCTTCAGATACATTGAAATGGAAGTTACCAGTCCATACATATAGGTAGAGGGTATCATCACTGCAGAATGAGCAATGGTCTGTATCCCCCCCCCCCATTCACGACAATACTAAGGTCTAGAGATAAAACCTCCTATTTTTCTTTCCTTTCTTCTGCATCCTTTCTTTACATCCTACAAGCCATCAAAAGCTGTGTAGTCTTGTGCCTTCCTTATACCAGACAGGGGTCCAAAGTGCATGTCCAATCTCCCTGTAATAGCCAGAGAGAAAAGCCGCTCAACAGAGGCTGTACTCTAGACTCCGCTAAGTAGTTCATAGGGAAGAAGAAGAGATTGGATTTATACCCCACCCTTCAGTACCCGAAGGAGTCTCAGAGCGGCTTACAATCCCTTCCCCTCCCTACAACAGACACCCTGAGGTAGGTGGGGCTGAGAGAGCTCTCCTGAGATCTGCTCTTGAGAGAACAGCTCTGAAAGAACGTATGACTGACCCAAGGTCACACCAGCAGCTGCATGTGGAGGTGGGGGGAATCAAACCCAGTTCTCCCAAATCAGAGTCCACGCACTTAATCACTACACCAAACAGCTCTGGCTCTTACTGAACTCAGTATCAGGAACAACTTCTTAAGCTGTTTCAGCTTGGTGTAAAGAACTGATCCATGCTGAGGGGAATGGAGCTCATACAGGTTAACGTTTCCTTGTCAACGTCCTGAATGAAATTGTTATATGAATGGGCTATCAACAAGAATAAGCTAAATCTGCTGAGATGTGTTTGTTCTGTCTTAATAGCACTTGAAGAAGTCCAGACTGGTTTGGGAGGGGCCTATGGCTTAGTGGTAGAGCATATGCTTGGCATGCAGAAGGTCCCAGGTTCAATCCCCAGCAAATCCAGTTATAAGGAGGTGATGTGAAAGACCTCTGACTGAGACCCTGGAGAGCTGCTGCCAGTCTGAGTAGACAACACTGATTCTTGATGGACTGATAGTCTGATTCAGTAAAAGGCAGCTTCATGTGGTTTTGCTTTCTTTGGACGGGTTCTCCTTGAATGTTTGAAACCGGTGTGTAGTGCTGAAGTTGCCTTGAAGTTTCCTGTCTGCGTCCATCCCTTGACACTCAAAGCAAAACCTTTCACAGTTTTCTTTGGTAACTTGAGGAGCCATCTAAGCATGTCTACTCAGAAGTAAGCCCCATTCTATTCAGTAGGGTTTGCTCCCAGAAAAGCATTCTTAGGATTGCTGCCTTGGGCAAAGATGGTGGGTAGCCAGGCTGGTTTAAAAATTTTAGACACGGTAGTGGTGGTATTTTATTTTTTTTAACTAACCCAAAGTACCACATAAATAGAGAACAAGCTTTTGAGTTCCTCACTCTTATCCTACCTACAGAGATAACTGATAGCAACAGCTTTTGGGTGAGGTGCTGTCATTGATTGGATTAGCCATCTCTAACGGGATTCCCTTCACCTGTGCATTTCCTAATATAAGTGATGTCAATATCATCTTTATTATGATGACATCAGCGGGGGGGGGGAGAGAAATGAATACAATGGAAACCTTTTAAATACTGCATGAATGGAAGAGATTCTGAAACACTGTTTCTCGCCTGTTCCCCACCCCAGCACAGGCACCTAGCTCTGGAGTCCTTTCTTTTGGCAGTAGGTCCAAGCAAGTAACTCAGCAAGGGCCACATTTAAGTTCTGCAGCTGTTCACTCAAGGCAAGACCACACAGCCTCTGTTCTCAGTTCTTATATATGACTTAACATCACATAAGGCTCCAAATATTTCTCAAATATGCATCAATCTTCAATATGTGAAATACATGAGCTGCAACGAATAGGCTGGAGATTTAAAGCAATATCCAACCTTTACTATTTGACACTCCCAACCCAAAAGAAAGACTTCACAGATTCTCAATTCACAATTTCAGTGGACTGCAAAACATAGTCTTCAGATGTTCATCAAGTACATACACTTCTTAAGACTTAAGATAAACAATATTAAACAATAAACAGCATGCTGTAAACAGCAAGTAGACCCAGTCCTTAAGACTTGAGACAAACAGTAAGAAATAGGCTGCAGTCCTATTCTGTTCTCAGTTCAGCACTGTGGTGAATACCCAGAAGCACAGGACATTTCTTCAGGAAGGCTCATAGCTTTTCCCCCTTGGCCACTGCAGCCTCTACACACAGTCTACAGCCTATTCAGTCCTTCGGTTTTCCCAGTCAGCCAAGCACATTGGCGCAGGTGTTTTCCTCTACCTCTCATGGTCTTCAAGGAGCAACTACAGCCCCAGCCTTAAGAGAAGCAGCAGACAGACATGACCCTCCACTGTGCATTTAGAAAGTCTTTCATGTACTTTCAGGATTTGGGATGGGTCCTGGCTGCTCACCACATTCTGGCACATTCCTTCCGGTTTGCTTACAGTCCATGGTGGTCTTCCCAGTGTTGAATTCAGAGATAATTTATCTGCCTGCCAAGTTATACAAGTATATGGGAAGCCAAGAAACCTTCAAGCCCTCTTTTCCAGACACTCACATCTGTCTCAATCCACATCACTGGCTGAGTGAACTCCATCCTGAGGAGAAGGGCTCTGAAAGTATCCATCTGTGCTTGTTCCCCACCCACCTACTTACCTTGCTTCTAGCTTTGGGGGCTTTTGTACTCTTTCATTGGCCTAAACAAGGAGAATGTGGGATCCAGTGGCCCAGACATCAATCCCTATAGAAATACAAATAGATTTACAATCCACATCCTGTAGCTAGCTGTCCTTTCAATTTAAGGTGATTAGATTATCTCCAGACCACCATTCACAAAGAGTGTCAGAGACATGACTAAATCTTCCTCCCTTTAGCCATTATTTAGGAGAAAAGCATTATTAATCCCTACCCCTTCCTAATCAATGGCACACTCTTTTTAACCCTTTGTAGAGAATTCCCTTCCAAAATTGATTAGAGTACAGTTAGAGGATCAAAGTCTTACTAGCCAAGCTGGTCCCAGAGAACAAAAAGTACAGATCACATAAGGCCTGTACTTTGAATAGGGTCAGACCTATGTTGCTGTCCACAGGAGCAGACAGGAGAATGGCTTCCAATGGACGCTAGCTACAAAACAAGGAGGCACTTCCAATCCCAGGTCCAGCCCTTAGCATCTCCAGTTAAAAAGGATCTTAGATAGCAGATTTTGGAGAAGACCTTTGATCACCTATGAAGGCTACTACTGGTCACAGTAGACAATACTGAGTGTGATGGACTATTGAGTTGACTTGGTATAAGGCACCCTCATATGCTCAACAGTTGTTCCTGGCAGGGTTCTGGTGATTTTAGCATCTGTACAACAGGCATAGAACAGCAGATGAAACTTTGCATGACATGGAGAGTGAGAATGTGAAAAGTTTCACTGGTTGATTTCTGCCTGTCAGGCCATTGTTAAAAGGCAGAAAGGGCCCTGTCTGGGGTGGGGCGGGGGGGCTGGCAGTTCAACTGAACAGTCTGGGCTTGTTTTCTTTTCTAAGTATATTTGTCTCCTAGCTGGTACCTCCTGGTGGTACAATGAGAAGTTTTCCTCACTGGTTCACTCACATGTTGAGAGACAGAGTTCTGAAATTGTGTATTATCTCCATTCTTATTTTTGTTCTTACCTGAAAGATTCTGTGATGCTTCCTTTGAATATTACATCATCTGTTAACATTAAAATGTATTATTTGGCAGTGAGGATTTTTTGTGTGTAAGGCAGACCAACAATCTGGTCTAAGCCTCTTTCCAGGCTGTTCCACTTCCGACTAGCCTAACTTCTCTCCAGTGCCTGTTTTCCTTTAGAATACGATTCAGTCATCTGAGCCCCCACTAAAGTGATACATTCTAGAAACAGGTTTGCCTCCTCAGTGAGAGCCAGATAGGAGCATATAGAAAGCTGCCTTCTCTTGCTGATCTTCTGTGCTTTATTTATATCATAGGTGTCCATAAAGTAGGACAGAAATGGAGCATCATTTTCAACTTTTCTGTTAGTCAAGGAGAGGAGCTGCAGCTGGCTGAATTGCGACTCTATCTCTCCAGGCCTGGGAGAAACTTTCCCTCCACCAGTAATCCAGTCTGGGTGGACTTATTTCACCAGCAGGACACAAGTTGCCAGCATGGTCACAACTGCCCACACATTGTCCACTTGGGCTCCTTTACGGTGTCCCCACCATTCCCTTCGAGCTGGATAGTCCTGGAAGTCACCCAGCAACTCTCTGGGTGGTTCACCATCAGTAGCTGGGTCAAGGAACCATTTCAGAATGATCCAATCAAGTGGAATACCAAACACAGCCTCAAGAGAGTGACCAGCCTCTGTAAGTCTGCCAACAAAAAGGCATTTTTGGTGCTTTTCTCCAGTTTTTCCGAAGGAGAGGGAGAAAGTAGCCGCTCAACCTTGCTCCAAACAGTGAAAAGTTCAAAATATTTTATACACAGGACTTCCAAAGACATCATGCCCCACTGGGGCACCAAGAGACACAGACGTCACAAGAAGCCCCTCAACTTGTCTTTGCCGAGCTCAGAAGAACCAGAGGCCAGAGGCCTGTGCCACAGAGTAGACTTCCATGTCGATTTTGATCGGATAGGCTGGGGCTCTTGGATTGTATACCCCAAGCAGTACAATGCCTTCCGCTGTGAGGGAAACTGTCCTGTCCCACTGGATGAGGGATTCCAGCCCACAAACAGCGCCTACATGCAGGTAAGAGTGTCAAAATTGGCCTCTGCCAATTGTAAATCAAGGTGAATTGGACTCTCAGCTACAACATCACTCTGGCTGAAAAGAAATATTCCCTCATACCTGCTGTTTCCCCCAAGGAGCTGAGAGTGGCCTCCCATCCAGGCAAATTGACAGGGCTGCCTGCTTCAGCACTGTATCGGGTTCATGTGCTTCAAATGAGGCCTGCACGACTGGGGACCCAACAAAGCTAAACCTTGTACTTTTAAAATTGTTTTAAAAAATCCCAAAACAGCTATGTTACCTACTGCAAACAGTGAAGATAAACTACAGGTAAATCAGCATATCCTGTGATCTCTTCCTCTTAATAGCTTACTGTGAATATTCCAGTGAAAAATGGGTATTTGAAAAGAACGTTTGATCTCCCACCTACAGGGAAAAAAACAGCTCTGTAAACTCTGCCCTACCTCTTGTCATCTCCTCCTCCTCCTCTCTCTCTCTTGACATGTCTTCATTTTTCCTCTGTCCCCTCTCCCCCAATCTGAGTCAACTACAGGATGCTTTGCATCTGGGATTGAGCAGGCCATAAGCAGCTCACCACCTGCATCTCCCTCACCTGTAAGTAGGCTTAGGGATCAGAGACGTCAGGATCTGGCTAGCCGACGAAAAGAAGCACGTTCAAGAGGGTGGAGATCATTGGGCCCTGAGTTTTAACAGCAGCCAGGACCTCACACAAAGGTGCTAATGAGTTAATGGGCCAGAGCACTATTTAGTAGGGCCTCTGGCCATGAGCAATTTGTGCTGGCAACCTCGTTTGTAGAACCAGAAGCTCTGCACCTTGATTCCTGTTTGACTCTGTGGCTTTTGGACTCAGCTGGTGTTTGGACTGCTCTGGCTCCTGACTTCCAGCTTTGAACCTGACCACGCCCTTGGCTTTGCTCCCTGTACTCTGACCTCTGGTAACGTTTTACTACGGCTTTGTCTGGTGTTTTGGGACTTGTTTAATGCTCTGCTGACTGCTCTCCCGGCTGACCTTTGGACTTGTATTGTGACTCCCCCTGTCTGCCTGCCTCCCTGGCTCTACCGTGACACAGTGAATGGCCAGAGAACACCTGGTGTGGCAGTATCACTGAAAGCAAACAGGTACGGATCTGATCAGTGATCTGGAAGACCACACAGAGCCCCGTGTAAGAATCATCAAATAAATATTAAAATATGTGTACTGTGGCACGTTCCTCTAATAGAGTGGCAGTTCCTGCCAATTCCATCCCCCTGCTGAGGACTCCTACTGTGGACTCCCCCCAACAAAATTTCAGGGGACCCAGTAGGCTGCAGCAAGAAGGGGAAGTGGGAAAAACCCCACTGTGAAGTCTGTGGGTGGCTGGACACGTGGAGTTGTTACTATTGGTAACAATATTGAGGAAAGGGGAGAAGAAAACTCTTCAAATATAAGTAATGAATGCCTCCTTTTTTGGATGAAGTCTTGACTGGTATATGAGTTAAACTTCTTCCTTAAAACAAGATGCAGGAATAATGCAGAAGAAAATGTGTGCTATAGATTATTGGTCTTGTTTTCCCCAGCTGGTGGGAAAACAGTCCTTCAATAGACTAAAGAATGGCCTCTTACATTATTCAGTATGAACCGTTCTTACACAAAAGCGGAAGCCAATATCAGCCTGTCCAACAAGCACTTTGAACAGATTAACAACATGGCGAGTTAGAAGGTCTCTGCGTGACTGAGATGTTACACAAGTCTGTAGAAATTCATGGGGCATCTCGTCTGCATTTCAAATACATAACCTCATTTTTCCACATTCCTACTGACAGTTCTTATTTCTGCAAAGAGAAATGCGATGCACAGCCTTGTTTATTTAAGGCAGGGCCCGTTTATCCACCTGCACACATCTGATGAAATAGGCTGCTGCCTACATAAACGTGCCAAACAAACCAGGGCATCTCCAAAGAAGCAGTGCTTACAGCCACTTTGTTAATCTCTCTGTTGTTGTTATTCTCGTAAGCAAATAATGCTGGGGGAAATTAAACCGAAAGCCCCTAGGTGCTTGGAAGGGCTCACGGGTCAGGCAGCTGAGCTGTGCCTTTGAAAGGAAAGGATTCTTGTCAGACCTTTTGGCAGCAGTTGAAAAAGAGGCTGCATCATGACCTTGGCTCTTGAGCAGGTGAGAACGCTTGGCAGAGGATGTATCTGACGAGTGATAATTTCACGCCGGAAGAAGCTGGACAATGCGGGAGGTTAGGCAAGCACAATGAGCTGCTGTTTTGAGATGCATTTGGAACACTAGGAAAAAAGGTGATTTGCTACAGACATCAGAGAGTATGCCGAGTTTGTTGCCCCAGGAGGCTCTCTTCTAAAAAGAGACAGAACGCTCACCCAGCTGTGCAAAGTAAGATCTTCCTGTGGATGGCACCAGGGATGTTATTGTCTAGGGTCACACAAACAAAACTTCTCTTTTAGAAAGAAAGAATCCCCATTACCTTTCTTCCAGTTGCACAGCTAGACTGTCAGTCATCCAACAGTTATTGGCCATTATTGGTTATTGTGGGTGTTGCACCACTCTCTCATGCATGTGGGGGCAGGACGCTGAAAACGTGTGGCGAGCCGAGCGTAGCTCTACCTGTCTACTTCTCACAGCTTCCTCTCTTCTTTTCTGGTCTGCTGCTGTTCACAGGAAGGCTCAGCCAAGACTCGTCTGCAGGGCTAAATAGGCCTGCCCACACAATCATGTATGCAGGATTTTTCTTTGTAGTCATGTTAATTCTTCAGTACATGTCTTGCTAGCTAGACACACAGTTTAAACCACACATTTACTCAAGTACTGATCTCTTGTTTTATTTTTAAAATGAACATTGACTCTTTTTGCAAACAGATAAATGGACGTGTGTGTTTGTGTAGGATGTACATTTATTTACTTGATTTATATCCCAACTTTTTCCTCTGGTAGGGACCCTTAGTAGCTTATATGGTTCTCCTGTCTTCCATTTTATTATCACCACAACCTGGTGAGGTAGGTCAGGCTGAGAGTGTGTGACTGGCCCAAGGTCACCCAGCAAGCTTCTAGGGCAGAGTGAGGATTCGAACCTGGGTCTCCAAGATCCTAGTCCAACACTCTAACCATTACAACCATGCTAGCTGTCATGTGCCTACTGTATCCTGCAACCTAGAAACAGTAATGGGGCTTTTAAACTTGCAGAATAACCCTCCCCCATCTCCAGACAGCCACAGCATAACCCACCTACTAGCAACAGGGCTGCCAACTCCGGCTTGGGAGTTCCCTGGAGATTTGGGGGCAGTGCCTGGGGAGAGTGACGTTTAGCAGGGAGCTCAGTAGGGATGTGATGCCATTAAGCCCGCCCTCCAAAGCAACCATTTCCTCTGTAGTCTGGAGATCTGTCGTCAGGAGAACTTCAGGCTTCAACTGGATGCTGGCAACCCTGGTTGGAGATGAGAAGGCGTGGCTGTCAGACCTGAGCTCTGCCACAGCTCTTACTGGAAATGAACTGCAATTCAGGGCTCTGGAGGCAGAAGAGAACTACCCTTTTCTCTCTCCCACTCTTGAGAAATTTTTTAAATAGAAAATATAAATAGTTATGCATGAAAGTAATTTCTGAATTGTTGTTTTGTATCCCCTGCTGGTGTCACTGGACAGATTATTAATCCTGTTCACAGGAAATATTGCCTCCCTCTGACAGACGCTGTAACCATGTCAGTGACTTAATTGACTTGTATTACAACGAACTGAGCTTGCCGATGCCATCAGGTGTTCTTAATGGGAGGAGCATTCCCTCCTGTGAAAGACTCCCTGTCAGATGTTTATCTTGCCATGGCCCAGCACATTCTTGGCTAACTGCAGACGTTTCTGACAGTGTTCGAAAGTCATAGTGCTGATGTGGAGCATATCAAGCACGGTGATACATAAGGTTCTGAGAATGTGCTGTTCTCAGGTGCAGTGCTGCCAGCATCCATTGGGATAGCTTGAGTTCTGACTACTGAACAATGCAAGCTCTTTTCATCAAATCTTCAGATGCACAGGTGCTCAGTTTGTGAGGGGGGGGGAGTGAAATTTCATTTGCTGACCCCATCTCTGCCTTCCATGTGTTCATCAGTTCTGTGTAGTACAGCATGTAGGCCCCTCAACCAGTGTTCCCTCTAAGCTGAGTTAGTGTGAGCTAGCTCACAGTTTTTTAGCCTCTGGCTCACACATTTATGTCTTAGCTCAGGAAGGATGGCTCCGGAGCAAACTAATTTATGCAGTAGCCAAATCGCTCGCTCACAGCTTGAATGTTAGTAGCTCACAAAGTAGAATCTTTGCTCACAAGACTCCACAGCTTAGAGGGAACATTGCCCTCAACACATAGACTTTCTCAGCTTTCTCCACAGATGAGCAGCCAAACCTTTTTAGGGTTCCCAACTGCACAAAGAGGTCTTGTGTTCATACATGTTGACCTCTTAAATTCATACATGCTATCAATGCATGCAGGGCAGACTCGGGGCAGTTTTATAATAAAACAGTGGAGAAGCTAACCGTGGGTCTTCATTGCTTTTACTTTTAATTCATGACTTAATATCACAAATAGGTAATGAAATAATTGAAGATTGTCATAAATATCTGTTACCCTTTTATATGTTTAATAAAAATGTTAAAAAAACAAATAGTTAATGAAACACTAATAAACTAGATGTGTTACCTTATATAATCTAAGGTAGGCCGGGCCAGGGTGGGTCACGACTGCTCCCTCCTTACCTGAGCTGACCTCCTACTCTTACACACGTATTCAGTCACCTTTGTCCATCTGAAGCCCATACACGTAACTTGCATGCACAGTTGCCAAAAGAGGTTGTTCTGCTGCTCCCGTTAAAGCATTCTTTTCCCTTGAATTGGATCTTTCATTAAGCAGGCAGAGAAACCCTTAGAGTCTGGTCGTCTTTCGTAAACTATATTACTGTTTTTACATTTCTCTTCCAGAGTTTGCTGAAATATTTTCACCCCGAACGAGTCCCGGCCTCTTGCTGTGTACCAGTGAGACTGCGGCCACTAAGCCTGCTGTACTATGAAGAAGGAAGGCTAAGTATTGGCCACCATGAAGATATGATTGTAGAAGAATGTGGCTGCCATTGAGGAAGCTGCAGAGGTTAGCAGAGGCTTCGACCCCTCCACACACACACCTGCTTCACTAAGCAAGATCAACTTCTGCAGAGAAGACATGTCATTTGACAAGACAGTGCTTGCATTTTTGATCTATAACGTTAAAATAGCATGATGAATCTAACATGGAAAACAGCCAAATCTTGCATGGAAAGTTGTAGATGAGCAAAAGTGTTTCATCTTTAATGGCAATCAGTCCTCATGACTGATGAGAGTTTGATGTAACCAGATTCCAAGGCTGGCTTCCTAAAGACACTACAGCTGAAACAGACTACACAGAAAGCTAGAATTTTTGCATTGTAAGGTAACCTTCTCCCCAACCCAACATTCCTATTGTAAAGCCGTTTCTGAATTCTTGGATCACATCTGCCATGTTCTGAAAAAACTGCTAAGAACCAGTTAGGCCCATTTCTTGTGGGTTAACATGGGCTACGAACTTCTTGATCTTGGATACATGGAAATATTGATATTATGCAAGCATAGTGCAATGGTTAAGAGCAGCGGACTCTAATCTGGAGAACCCGGTTTGATTCCCCACTCCTTCTCCATGTGAAGCCTGCTGGCTTCATTTGGGCCAGTCACAGCTCTCCGAACTCTCTCAGCCCCGCCTACTTCACAAGGTGCCTGTTGTGGAGAAAGGAAGGGAAAGGCAATTGTAAGCCGCTTTGAGAAACATTAAGGTAAAGAAAAGCACTGTATAAAAAAAACCTACTTTTCGTCTTTTACCTCAGTGTCTTAGACTGAACAAGAACTGATGGGCTCTGAGGGCAAGGCATCTCACACATTTAACACTGCATTAAAGGAGGATTTGACTGATGCAGAAAAAGAACAGATAGTTCAAAATTAGCATTTGTTTCTAATTCCACAATGACTTCAAAGGAAAGAAAGGGAAACGATTGCGATTGCTTCCTCCACAAATGATTGCTTCCCAGAGGGGTATGCCTGTTGTTCACTGAAAAGAAAGCAGATGTGATTTGTTTACTTTGATTTAAGTAAATAATGCTCCAAAACCATTTGTCATGATGTATCATCTGACAGGCAGATAACAAAGCTTCTGGTACCTTAACAGCAGCTAGGGATTCAAAGAACAGCGGACATCTTTCCCTTCCACAAATAGATGGATGCTCCAAGTCTAAACACTGAATTTTTGCAGAAAGGACTAAGAAAATGCTATTCTTTTTAGACTAAAATCCATTTAGATTAAGATCCATTTATCTTTAACCCTTGAAAGCATTTTTACTCAGCCTCTAGTGTCCTGCTAAAATTGAACCAAATATAGTAACAGGATTGCCCCACAGTTTGGTGTAGTGGTTAAGTGTGCAGACTCTAATCTGGGAGAACCGGGTTTGATTCCCCACTCCTTCACATGCAGCTGCTGAATGACCTTGGGCAAGCCGTAGGTCTGATAAGAGCTGTTCTTGAAAAAGGGCAGTTTCTGTCAGAGCTCTCTGAACCCCACCTGCCTCACAGGGTGTCTGTTGTGGGGTGGGGAGGGGAAGGGAAAGGAGTTTGTAAGCCACTCTGAGACTCCAAGTGAAGGGCTGGGTATAAATCCAATTTCTTCTTCTTATAAGAGAATCTAATTGTGCTGGAGGCAGTCTTAACATAAACGTTCTCATTTTGTATATAATGCCTGGACAATCTGCCTGATGCCAGATGCTTTCTACTGCCAGATGGTGCCACTCTTTTTGTAGCAGGAACTCCTTTGCATATTAGGCGACACACCCCTAATGTAGCCAATCCTCCAAGAGCTTACAGAGCTCTTCTTAAAGGGGCTACTCTAAGCTCTTGGAGGATTGGCTACATTAGGGGTGTGTCGCCTAATATGCAAAGGAGTTCCTTTTGCCACAGAGCCACTCCCAGGTTTTTTTAGCATTTGCAAGTCTAGCCTGCCACTAGCGCAACACTAAGAGCTAGAACTTGTGGCTGCTGGACAATCCTAGGATCTCCTGGCTATTCTACGGACAATGCCAAATGATAATTATTATTAGTGGCGCTTCAGCAGCCCAGATGCCGAACAGCTCCCAGGCACAAGACCTTTAGGTGAAAAGCAGTCAGCTGGATAAAGATGACAAAAAGACACCAGTCGCAACTCATTCCACAAGCTGCCCTCAGATGTGGCAAGGAGTAGGCTTGTGATGCCCTGCAAGCTAAACCTGATAGCGGAAAGTGACTTATGGCGACCCCTCTAGGGTTTTTCAAGGCAAGAGAAGGGTGTTTTGCAATTGCCTGCCTCTGTGTAGCAGTCCTGGACTTCCTTGATGGTCTCCCATCCAAACCCTAACCAGGGCTAACCCTGCTTAGCTTCCAACATTTGACGAGATTGGGCTGCCTACCCAGGTTAGGGTAAAACCTGATAGCTCTGTCAAACTTAATTTGCGGGAAATGAATGGGGTGATCAAAGGACACAGAAGCTGGCTGTTTCTTGTAAAGACCATACCTGCCTTACTAACGCCAATCGATTTGGGAAGCATAGCTTTGTGGCATCCTATTATAGAAACATAAAGGCCGTGGATTAAAGTAAGCTGATAATGGACTGCTTAAAATGACTCAAACAACACAAATATACACTGCAAAAACCTTTTATAAGTTAATGTGTTCTTTTTGTTCCATCTTACAAAGTGCATTGCGTGTTATTTATAACTAGGAAAAAGTCCTGTTGTGGAAATAAATACAACGGTCTCTAGAAAGAAGCTCTTGGACACTCAGTGTCAATTTGCTGTGGCGATCTCAGCAGGGTATAATGACACTGAGTCCACCATTTTCTCCAGAGGAACTGATCTATGCTACCTAAAGAACAGTTGTAATTTTGAGTTATCTCCAGCCCTCCCCTGGAGATTGGCAATGAAGGTTCTCCAGAAGGGAATGGTTGGTTTGGAGGGTGGAGTCTATGGCTTTGTGCCTGTTTGAGGTCCCACGCCTCCTGAAACCTTACCCTCTCCAGGCTCCATCCCTCACATCTCCAGGAATTTCCCACCTGGAGTTGGCAACCCTATCTCCTGCCCAGCCAATCATCAACCTACCTTTATTTCCCCCTCACTCTTCACCTTTCCACCTCCCACACACCTGCACCCTCTCCCGTGCTCTGAAGCCCTGACTGCTACGTCACATTGGCTGTCATACAGGGGCCACCTCAGCAGCATATAAGGATACAGAGCCCACCATTTTCTCCAGGGGGACTGATCTCTGCCATCTGGAAAGCACTTGTAATTCTGAGTGATCTCCAGCTCTCACCTGGAGATTGGACACATTTTACCTCAGAACAGCAAGCTGTTTAGAATGTTAGAGGCAAAAGCCAATCAAGTCGCATATGCAACGACCTCTGTGTTCCAATGAGGCTGCATATGCAAATAACCTCTGTGTTCTGACTGGCTAGGGGGGGGGGGGAGGAACAGCAAACTGTTTAGAATGTTGGAGGCTAGACTCAAGCAAT